TACGACAAAAATCGGATGCAGGGTGAATCCAGCAATTGGGTGCATTCAGTACTACAACCGCTCACTGAGCGCTCAGTTGCTTGAGATTAAGGCCGGTATTCATAGTCGGTTCTTATTTCAAAACCATCGTAAGTAATGTCTTAATAGGCTAACGCGGCTCTCTGATTGGTTCATGACACCTCAAGGCTGAACTTAAGACGATCTTGAATATAAGAACTGACTATGAATACCGGTCTAAGACCAGGGGGCTTACGTTTCCTTGTGACGAAGTGAAAATTACAAAAGTGATTGAATTTACTAGTATATTTATAACTTCATTGGTTAACTTCTAGTGAATTTGATCATTTTTGTAATTTTCATTTCGTCACAAAAACCGTAATCCCAGACTATAGATTCCAGCCTGTATCTTGAAACGAGGTGAAAATTACAAAAGTTAGCAAATTTACTAGAATATTGATAATTTCATTGGTCAACATCTAGTAAATTTTCTCACTTTTGTCATTTTCACCTTGTTTGAAGATATTGAATCGACTTCCAGAATCACGAGTATCAGACGAAGTTGATACGCGTATCAAATGGTATCGAAGAATCTCAGCGTGCTGTAAACGCTTGGTTCGTTTTGGATCGTATATTAAAATTCGCCACTGCTTTTAAGTTTAGGTTAAAATTAGAATTAAGCCCATGGCACATAAAAAACGTAAGGCCGTAAGACGTAATCAGTAAGCGAATTGGCCAATCACGGTAGAGACCGTGAGGCCAGTAGCGAATCCAATGTTTACGATTTCCTTACTGCTTACGTCTTACGGTCTTACGTTTTTGTATGTGCCATGGGCTTTATGGCCGCAGCACAGACTCTTGCATAACGCATAATGCATAGTGCATAAGGGACCAATCGAAATTCTTCTTTTCCATGGATGGAAGGAAAGGAAAGATTCTGATTAGTTGATTCGCTTATGCACTATGCGTTATGCGTTATGCAAGAGTCTGTGCTGCGGCCATTACTCTTGAAAAGCAGTGAAGAGCATCGTGTCACCTAATCTGACCCGTTCTGAGGCAGATCGGTGTAAATAAGGACGTATCAGATATTTAATTCGCATCAATTTGATACGCCTACTAACCGATTTAACGCGATATAATGGCCCGTCTACAATACACGTAGTAAGCTTGGTTTAAGAAGTAAGAATAAGAAATTGACCAATCACAATCGATTATTCTTCTTCCATTCGACTGTGATTGGTCAATTTCTTATTCTTACTTCTTAAACTAAGCTTATTCCGCATATTGTAGACGACGCATTGAAGGGGTCATAGATATTTGTGGCTGCGTTCCACTCAATGCTCGCAACGCTCGCGAACATCGTTTGTCCTTGTTCAACATTTGATAAACGACAAGGATGAAATGATTCCACGAACGTTGTGAGCGTTAAGTCGAACGCAGCCAATGGCTTATCGACGGAGTCTTGTAATTCAGCGAGTCAACGCGAGCGAGATATGTAATTTAAAAATGGACGCGCTTTAGAAGAATGCATGTCGGCTAGAATGTATAAATAATTTATTTATACGGATACAATTCATCTGCAGTAAGGATATCGTTAATGGCAATAGGTAACGTAAATCAAAGACTCTGAATATGATATAATGGTAGAACGTGTTAATTATACAACATGTATTCACATTAGTATTAAATTATTATAATGATGGTGAGTTCAGTATTCCTCTTCTTCTTCGGTGTTAACAGCATCTTCTTGCACCTCGCGATAATCGAGCTCCAAGGCGGCCAGATCTTCCCGGGCTTCCGAAAATTCACCTTCCTCCATGCCTTCCCCAACGAACCTGCAAAATTTAATACATCGTTGTGTCTTATGCTGGATTTACCCTGCATCCGATTTTCGTCGTACGACGTTCTGCAACCAATCAGAAAATAGGATTCCGATGAATTTTGCTTCATATTATCGGAATCCTGTTTTCTCTATCCCATAACCAATCAACAGGCTTGAAAAATTTGTCGTACGACAAAACGCACAAATCCTACCCTTAGGCTATGGTTTATTTGATGCTACAAATGCTTCAAAGCATTTTTTGATTGATCAATTAGTAAGATTCTTTCTTCCGATTGGTCAATCAAACGCTTCAAAGCATTTGTAGCGCCAAGTGGACCGCACCCTTATAGCGTTTTTCACTGGCAGAATTGGTGCGCACTCGGTGCACATTAAAGCTGTTGTACAATAATCTAAACTGAATGTAAAAGTGAGATATCTTAATTAATAAAATACCTAATGTATATTTTATCAAATACCACAATAAAATGTATTGAGGATTTTACAGTTTAATTTATTTCTATATTTTTATTAAACGTACATCTTTATGTCGATTTGTGTACAACGGCTTTAAAGTGCACTAAATGCGCACCGGCTCTGCCAGTGAAAAACGCTATTAGTAATACCTATTACTTTAATCTTGGTTCAACGTAGTTTTTATCTTTTTACAATTTTAATTCTAGTTTTAGATTAGAAAAAATGAAGAGTATTTCGTTTCTTTATACCTTATGCACGTGTTATTAAGTTCAATGTTATTTAATTTGCTAAAGTATATATGAGCCTTAATTTATTGTTTCATTTTCAGCAAATTTTTAACATCTTGTCCCTAATCTAATCTTTTTTTCTGTGTGTTAGGCAACAAATGATGCTATCCATATTAAAGAATAATACACATGTTACTTGATGAATTGATTATCGTTCAAGTTCGTCGCAGTTTGGTAAAAGTTATCCTAATTCGTCTTGTTAGACTGGAAAATCTTTGGCTCTAGCTGGTCTAGATACATTAATGCTAGACGGCAAGCGATACTATTTATGTTCAACTCGGGCTTCTTACCAATGCACGAAAGCTCGCTTGGCATACATGAGATCGAACTTGTGATCAAGTCGAGCCCATGCGTCCACAATCGCTGTCGTGTTGCAGAGACAGCAAACAGCTCTTTCTACACGAGCGAGATCTCCACCTGGTACAACGGTAGGTGGTTGATAATTTATTCCCACCTGTTAACGTGGGAATACAGTGATATTTTACTGTGATCGACTTAAAAAATATGAAAAGATCAATTAAGAGAAATTTATAAACATTCATTTTATATAACAAATTGCAAATCCTTAAAATCCCTATAAGTGCATAATATTATTTAATATGAAGTAATATTTTAGGCATATTCTTAGAATATTAACATTTTAAGAATATTTTACTAAAATTATATAATATTACATGATATTCTCGAAATATTAACGAAAGGTTATATGTCCACTCCTGATAATATTATACGATTATTAAAAGTAACATTTATTTAATGTTACTGTAATATCGTATGAACATTACAAAGTATTATAACAGCATTTACTTTAATTTGTAAAACTGTTACATCTGTTCAGTATAAATATACGTTTAAAAACTAAAAATAATTTTGGCGCGCAGTTGTAGAACTGGATATGTCCTTAAAATCACGTCGAAACGTTTTTTTTAGCACAGGATGTAGCATAGATTGATAAGAACTTTTCGTTACTGGATTGTGAATTCAAATTGCACAAAATTAAAAATAATTAACATTTATAAGCATTTTAATAATATTTCAGAAATATTAAGTTATAATACGGTTTAATATTACGGGAGTATAATTCTATAGAAGTTATATGTCCACTTATATAATACCTACTAGGGTATTGTATAAGTGGACATATAACTTCTATAGAATTATACTCCCGTAATATTAAAAAAATATTTATGGTATTCTCGAAATATTATAATAATATTATTTTAATTTTTTTAATAATATCCATATAACATTCTAGAAACATTTTGCGCTTATAGGGATACTTTACTCTCAAAATTTCTTGGAGTGAAATCTTAGTCCAAAAGAATAAAAATATTGCCATTATTGAAAAAGAGTGAAAATATTTGCACTCTTGAATAAGATTCTCACTCTTAGGCAGATTTTCACTCTTTTTTGAAGTGAGATTTCTTGTTTTTTTTTTTGGAGTGAATCTCACAAAAAAAAATTAATTCGGCGCGCAGTTCAAATGACTAGGGATGCACCGGATCGTAAAATTATCGGATATCGGATATCCGAAAAAAGTGTAACATCGGATATCCAGGAAGGCAATTTTTCGAGTTAGATATATATCCAATATTTTCCGGATATCCGACTGGATCCCGGGACAATGTCAATTCATGATTCATGACAAAAAAAGCTAAATAAAAAAAGAAAAAAGGAGCAAAAAGGAAAAGAGACTGTAAGGGAAAAATAGTGATAATAATTATGATTTTAATGTTAGCGTCCGAATTTGAATATCAATAGAGATGATAACTGTAGAGAAAAAAATTGTAATTTTGCAGCAATATATAAAATATAGCATTATGAGTATGCACACTCTTATTTATAGAACATTTATTTATAATAAAAAAATCAACAGTTTAATGATATAAAATTTCAACCGGATATGCTCCTGGATACTAATAATATCCGACTATCCGGTCAGACAGTAAAAAAAGTGCCGGATAATACCGGATACTGGATACTTTTCGGATATCTGGTGCATCCTTACAAATGACTATAAATATAGTATATATGTACGTACATACGTAGTACAGTCATGCAAATTCACATGAAATTATTAAGTATTAAAAATCCAGCTTCGACCGCGCATTATATAGGCCGTTATTTCCTATTTCTTATTGGTTGTGCTTTCACATGTACGATCCAACAAGATTCTTTTGGATTCTTCTCATTTCTTGAATTCTTCTCCACTCTAAAAAAAGCCTTCTTTGATCATCTTAGTAAGTTTATTACCTTGAATCCTGTCGGGCACCATTCGACGAATTGCACGTGCTTCTGGCGCTTTATCATCGCGATCGCCGCGTTCACATCTTTGGGTACCACGTCGCCTCTGTAGAGCAAACATACTGCCATGTATTTTCCCATGCGCGGGTCGCAATTCACCATTTGATGATTCGGTTCAAAGCAGGAGCTTGTTATTTCCGAGACGGTCACTCTCTCATGCCCAGCCTTCTCTGCTGACAGAACCGGAGCATACGTAGCCTGCATGATGATAAAACGTAATTAGCACATAATTAAGATACAATTATCGATTAAATAATCGTCTTTTCAATTTTTACGTTATAAACATTAAATTCGTAAACTTTAACAAACGGTGCTTACGAGCGGAAAGTGAATACGTGGATAAGGCACTAAATTCGTCTGAAATTCAGTGAGATCGACATTCAGGGCTCCATCGAATCGTAAACTGGCGGTGATGGATGAGACTATTTGTCCAATCAGCCGATTCAGATTCGTATAAGTCGGTCGATCGATATTTAAGTTCCTCCTGCATAGCTCATAAATGGCCTACGGATAACACACGCGATTGTAGTAGCAGACTTCGCCATTACCACTCCGTGTAGAGCAGCATATATATATACACGTATAGCTACGACATTGTCCCAATAAATTTTATTTTAGACATGTGAAATGTTGGGTAGAAAGCACGCAAGCTTTTTGCTAGCAGAATCCATTTCTAAGAGAAATTGCCGTTTCGCGATCGATTTGTCAATAACTGAGTTGTAAAAGCGTTTACGAAATTCAGACGATGTAATAAGTTATACAGATATAAGATTTATTATGTCGATTTTACATTTGACGTTTATGTAAAAGTACACACCTGATTATCTACAATGAAAGCCACTTCGCTATGCTCTAACGTCGGATGAGTGTACAGAATTGCGTTGTAAGGTTCCACTACTGCAGTCGATACCTATAAAAAATGCAAATGCTTTCGTAATGAGAAAAGAAAACAATTAGATAGTCAAACAAATCAATAGTTTCGTAGTTTGTTGGGAAAGTAGATTATTCACTAAATAATAAGCAAAGGGGAAATGTATATATGTATACAGATTATATTAATATCATTAAATTAAATTATATCACTTGAACTTTTTTCAAAGAAATCAGAGTTCTTAAGCAAAAATCGAAATATTCCGAGTAGGGAGAATAATATTACCTGTGGGGCTGGATAGATACTAAAGGTCAGTTTACTTTTCTTCGGATAATCGGCGGACAATTGTTCCATAAGCAGACTCGAGAATCCAGAGCCTGTGCCACCGCCGAAAGAATGGAAGATTAAGAAGCCTTGCAAGCCTTTGCACTGCTCTGTTAGTCTGCGTATTCTGTCCAAAGTGAGATCTATGATCTCTTTTCCTGAAAAATCGCAAGATCGGTTAATAACTTTAGTTAATAATACATGACTATCGCTCTATTAAAAAACACATTTAATGATCTTCTCTTACAAAATAAAGCTTACAGAATGAATTTATATATATATATATATATATATATATTTGGCCAATCGCTTATATGTACGTTATAATTAAGCTTCAACCTTTTTACAGATTTACAATTGTGACGGTAAATTGAAGTACCTATTGTATAATGGCCCCTAGCATAATTATTAGCCGCATCTTCCTTCCCGGTAATCATTTGTTCCGGATGAAATAATTGTCTGTAAGTACCCGTGCGTACTTCGTCTAAAGTATTAAAAATATAATTCGTATTATTATATCTTCTTAACTCTATTAGTCATTAATGTGCAGTACACATATTCAAGAAAAATTTATAGTATTAAATTTATAGTATTAATGATCGAGACCAGGATCAAAACGTAACTTTCAGCAACGTAAAGTTATAAAAATTTGTATCTTACAACTTAACAATCAATAATTTCTTTAATAAGAATGAATTTTTCAATTATAATGCTCGGAAATCAATTATTTTCTCTAGGATACTTGCCTACCACCGTTGGCTCGAGATCGACCAAGACCGCTCGTGGGACATGCTTCCCCGAACCAGTCTCGGAAAAGAACGCGTTAAAGGAATCATCTCCGGAGCCCACACTAACATCGCTGGGCATTTGTCCGTCTGGATGGATACCATGCTCCAGACAATAAAGCTCCCAACAGGCGTTTCCCATTTGCACGCCCGCTTGTCCTATATGAATGGATATGCATTCTCGCTGCGAATAATCGGGTAAATACTTGTGCAATATATCCCCATATATTTCATAAATCTACATACGCAATAAAATAATATAATTCGATCAAAATCCAAAAGAAATTACTTATAAAAATAATTCTCTGTCTCTTTTTCTCTCACTCACTCATATTTTCTTTGTTATTTGATTGAAATAAATTCTTTCGCCTTTTCTCAAATAATGATATACAAATAAATAATAGAAATAGTAAAAAAACTTATATGGATACTCGAGAGTCTAACTCAGCTAGACTATTTATTTTGCTTTTCGTTATTTGCCGCATTGGAAAGAGCTTGGTTGCATTAATTGGAATTTTGGTTGAAAATGTATAAATCAGAATTTTCTGGTTGAATCTATTATTATAGTTCTAAGATAAGATATAGTTTCAGAATTCTGAATGATACATTAGATTATTTAAAGGTTGTGCTTCTGCCCTTAAGGAGCAATCACAATTATATAATGTAATTATAATCACGTCACTGCAAAGAGATATTGTTTGTTATCGTAAATTTTCGTATTACTTTAAAGTTGAAACTGACGGAATAGCCCCACCCTACCTACCCTATAGGGAGAAGGAGGAGATATATATGTATATACATATATATATATATATATTAAAGACAAAACCATCCCACTACACGTCGTATAAATGATCATGTTCGCTACACCACACTACATTTAAGTATTATTACCACCTTAGATATCGTTACAAAATTCACGACAGCCTTTACTGCGTTCGTAACTTCATAATACGCGAGTAGATCGTTAAGGATGTATTATACATATTTTCAAGATAATGAGAAAATTACAAGAAAATTATTCTAAATTGCATTTAAAAGTAATACAAAAAAAATTAGCAGCAGTAAACCTGCATCAAAAGTTATTTCAATAAGAAATTAAAATTTTTTAGTTCTACTCTAATGGAAATGTATGAAGATGTCTTATAAAATAATAACAAAAATCTCAATTTTTTAATGTAAGTACAAAGTTAACATAAAGTTAATGTAAAATTTCATTGTGATGGAGAAATTAATTATTTTGTAAATAAATAAAATTTATTTATTTGTTTATTTATAGAACGATCATGTATAAAATTTTTAAAGATTAATTTTTTGTATGGAATATGAAAATGCTTATAAAAAGATGTTTGAAGTCGCTGATTTCAAATATGACATAAAAAGCACATTACAAAAAAATCAATTTTGCAACAAATTGTTATAAATAAATTAAACAATTATAATTTGAAATAGAATTGAAAAGAGAATAACTCCAATTAAGTATGAGGAATTCCTATTTTTGATCAAAGTAGGTCTTAAATGCTTTAATTATTTAGTGGATTTATACATATTTCTAATTCCACATTCCACAAACGACGCGCCGAATTGTTTTTCCGGATTTGAAACGCATTTATGCACAGAATCAAAATAGTAATATCACATATTAAATTGTACAATTTTTAATAACAGTTTCGCGTAAAGGAGACAGTATCGCTGCGCTTGGCTTAGCGCCGAGACACTACCGTCTCCAAATTTTTTTACTAATAAGCATCTGGTAAGAATATTTTAAACTTGGTCATTTAGTCACTTTTCGGGTGTATTTCAGCCCTCTATACATTGGCTGCATTCAGCAGAGAAAATTAATCAGTTAGCGCTTAGTGATTCTTTAATATGATTAGTTCTTGCCTTTAGTTTTTCGCTAAATCTGAGTGTAGGAACCAATTGTATTAAAGAATCACTAAGCGCTAACTGATGAGTTTTCTCTGCTAAACGCAACCATTATAATGAAATTTTGCATAAACCATTTTGAATATGTGTATCTACTTACAGTAAATACAGTAAATACGAAAATTTTAGCATTACAACAGTAAACAATAATAACAAATAAAGTAAATAAAGTATAAAAATGTATTGTTCAATAAAAATAGAATGTTGCAAGTATACCTTTTATATGTAGCTTAAAAAAGTATAAATATAAACACATTTATAAAAAAAATGGGTATAATACATCCTTAAATGTAAAATATTGTTAAATATCAGTGCTTGTTATATTAATTACCTTTTTTGCCATTCTTAAAAAGGTTTCGTTTATGCGTTAACTATTGTAAGTGAATACAGGATAGTTGACAATGCACTTTCACAAAAAAAAATATTTATAACAGTATCAAGACACAAAGATGTTTTAGTTAATTCACATTAACTGATTTTATTAATCGCCTGTTTTCTTGCATTAAATATTCACTCAACGTAACTGAATCTCTTATGATCAGTTTTACAACAATTTTTACTGTACTGATAATATTAAGTTCACTTAGAAAATTTCGACAGATTGCACAGATATTAGCTATTCTGAGGAAAATAGACAATTCAAAAAGAGTCTATAGGAAATTTTGATTAAGGTCGATTCCGTTGTATTTGTATCTATTTGTTATTTATTTCTATCCATTCATTTTAATTCTTACGTTGATCACAAATTTAAATAATGAACTCTTTTTTTATGGGACTATAAATATAAAAATAATTGTACCACGTGATAAAATTATTCACATATTTATGCTGTTCCACAGTAAGATATCCCACCGCAAACGATACCCAGTTTCTGATTAAAAAAATACGATTAGGTAAAGTCTGCCGAGCGAACTTGACAAGCCTTAACAAAACTGAGCAAAGAAATACGAGCTATGCTTAACAAGGGATGATTACCGGTGGCCCAGACATCGCCGACTAAAGCAGTGTCTTTATCTGTCAACAAGGTCTGATATAAAAATGCCACCTTGATCCAATGTGTCCCCCATGGATAATTCAGCTGTATCCTAAAAGTGAGCATCTTTTATATATATATATATATATATTGGTGTGCCTATAGCCGGCCTACTTCCTGACTTACGGACGCACATGGGCGATGTGTCGCCTCTCTTGCAATACGATATTATACACTATATCTGCATGATACGGTAAAAATCGATTTTTTACAGGTTGACACACTGTAACCATAGCAGCTTAATCGAATATCAAACTGCATACTTGCATATAACGCGATTGCACCGATTCAACCAAAAAGATTTTACTATGATCTTACAATTAATGTAAGAGATCACAAATTTGTCATTCAATATACAGCTGAATAACGAAGGCTTTATCGGTCTCAGCTGAATCTTGTAAAACTGGATATGTATATATAAATTCATATCGAAAATATTATTTAAACACTAAGATCCGTAAGCTCAGATCAGTAAGGCCTTCGTTATTCAATTGTATATTCATAATTGCGATCTTAAAACACTTTGTTTATTTGTCGTTCAACTTTCATAAAACATTTGAGCCGAATGGAATTCATCCCTAAATCTTAAAAATATTATTTTCGCTTGAGAGAAAAATTTCGATACAAGCGTATGTTAACGCATAAATATTTGGACATCCTAAATAATGTGATTATAACAATAATATTTTAGAAAAACTATGAATGAGTAAAGCGAACGACGCATTCGTACTCTCAATTTTACTAATGTATATTTACTATGCTGTCGATTGACGTGTATTCAAGGCGTGGATCGATACTTCATAATTCAAGTGTCTCATGTAGTTGAAATATATAGGAAAATAAAAAAACTACATAATATCAATAAGATTGATATCTAAATTTCTTTTGATATTTCAAAAATATATTAATCATTTTTGAAAAATTTATGCATAGTAGCATTTAGCTTTCTTTAATTAACGGTAAGAAATCGTAACAATAAGAAACTGTAACAAAGTTAAACTAAATGATTATGTTAAAAAAAAGCATTGCTTTCAATATTAAGATAAGATGTTACATTCATCAATATAGAAATTTCTTTAATATTTTCCGAAACATTATTTTCGGACAGAGATCTTTTTCAATCGATCTTTTAATCATTCCTTCTTAAGTTTTTTTCCCACTCATTTAATCTACTCGAAAAAATTTTTAATTGACCTCATAAGCTCTAAGCGAACATTTAAAAGTGCATAACGTGATATTTCCCTAGCTGTATACTTGGTGCACCTTATGACGTGTACAGCATGCATATTACACGCTTACCAGGAACAGTGTTGTTGTATAAAGCCTACAATTCCCGTTATTAGAATGTTTACAAATGTATACGCTTGTGTAATAAGTAGAAGAATTACATTGATATTATTAGAATTCATTTTAATAATATGTATGAAGATAAATGACGATAAGTAAGAAACAGGGTAAATGTGTAAATAACGATAATTTAAAAAAATTACGATTTTAAATATTGAATACGTTTGAAAAATGTTGAAGATATGCTTTTGTCTCATGTAACAAATAGACATTATTTGTCATTTTTGATAAAACGACAAATAATGTCAGCTTGCTACCTGTACGTGATTTTTATGTAAATGTACTTGCATGTAAAAAGCTCTATTCTAATTATTAATGTAGAAACTAAATAGAATAATAAGGTAATAGAGTAATATTTTATATAATCGTTTATCTTAATATTATCAAATATTTTCTTTATATATTTTTTGAAGAGTAAAAATGATTTTGGAAGTAATTTCCTTTATAAAATCAGTCTGCTCCAATTATGAAATTAAATTGAATATGTTTTTATTAAAATACAAAATACATACATATATACATTTTTCAAGGAGAAATATAATAGTTAAAAATATTCGATATTAATGAAAAAGATGTAATAGAGAAGCAAAGTACTCACCATTTTATCGATATCTGATTATTCGTTTGCACTCGATAGCAAGCAGCGTGTCGGACCACGACTCGTTCACTGTCTGACTTTGCGGATAGTACGATCACTGCGCTTCGCCATTAAATAGCAGCGCTATATACGGTATCTGTCTATGAACCATGAGTTCATAAGCGATGCGAATCAACTTAGACTGCTATAGTATTCACGACAATTGCATATGCGGGTGCACATTTACATACAAGGTACACTATCGGTCATTGTTTTCTCGGGAATGGTTCAAGGTACAGGAATATTTCTCAAACAAACTCCAAAGAGAGAGGTCAAAGATATATATCTTACACATACAAGAATAATTACCTTCATCATTATTTATAATTAAAAATCTACATTTCTTAAAATATTCACGAGTAATCTTTTTACACTCTGATTAGTATTATACATGGTAAATGTATAGAAAAGGGACGCCACCTCCAATGACCTTGACGTATGTTGTCAAAGTCATGATCCTGAGTAATCTCCAACAAGTTTCAGCAATCGCTCATTATTCGTTAAAAAGTTATTAACAAAAACGTTTGAAAAAATAACGTCTTATTTCTGCTCTCTCTCCCCCCCCCC